GTTTTTATACAGAAGATGGGGTGGGGAAGTAAACGATAGGTGGGGATAGAGCCCAAAGAGAAAGAAAAACAGTTGACAAACAAAGGATAAAGGTCAGTGCAGGGAAAGGATTAGCTGCTACGAGGGACTTTATTCAAACTTTATTTGCTCACAGGATGAGGGAGTCACTGGCTAAGCAGCATTTATTGCCCATCGCTAATTGTCAGCGGGCAGTTAAGAGTCAACCACATTGCTGTGGGTCTGGAGTCACATGTAGGCCAGACCAGGTAAGGATGGCAGTTTCCTTCCCTAAAGGACATGAGTGAACCAGATGGGTTTTTCCAACAATCAACAATGGATTCATGGTCATCATTAGATTCTTAATTCCAGATATTTATTGAATTCAAATTCCACCATCTGCCATGGCGGGATTCGAACCCAGGTCCCCAGAACATTAGCTGGGTCTCTGGATTAACAGTCCAGTGATAATACCACTAGGCCTGCTGAAAATGGGGAGTGTGTGGGAGCAGCCTGTGCTATGACAGGGCCTGGTGTGTGGGGCGTTGGTGTAGGACAAGGGAGAAGGTGCTCAGACCCTAAAATTATTGAACTCGATATTGGGTTTAGCAGCAAAGATGGTTGAGGAACAATGGCAGATATTTAAGAAAATAGTTCGCAGCACAGATATATCCCAATGAGTTCTAAGCCAACCATGGTTAACCAGGGAAGTTGAGGATAACTATGAGGAAAAACATACAATGGGCCAAAGATTAGTGGGAAGTCTGAGAATTGGGAATGTTCTTAAAAACCAACGTAGAGAAAAAAAAAGGAAGAAAACAAATTTTGAGGGTAAACTAGCAAGTAATGTCAAGATGGACAGCAAGAGCTTCTTTAAAAAGGAAGAGAGAAACCAAAAGTGAAAAAAGGCCTCTTCGAGAATAATCAGAATGATATAATTATCCTTAAGATCTCTATTTCCCGGGGAATCTTTTACTCATATCATTTATTACACATTACCAGATCCAGAATAGCCTGATCCCTGGTGGGATCCACCAGATACTGTTCTAAGAAACTGTCCTAAATACACACTCTGATTTGTATCAAAATCGCAGAAATGGCAGAGGAGTGAAATGAATATTTTGCATCAGTTTTCACAGCAAAAAGCATCTATAGAGTCCCAAAAATACTAAATGTTCAAGGGAGAGAAGGAGGAGAGGAAATAAATTCAATAATTATCACTAGAGAGAACATGCGGAGGAAACTAATGGTACTAAAGACCGCTATGCCCGCTGGACCTGAAGGAATACATCCCAGGATGTTACAGGAAGTAACTGCAAGACTTGAACACACTGGCAGTAGCCTCCCAAAGGCAGAGATCACACAACATCAGGTTACAGTCCAACAGGTTTGAAAATCACAAGCTTTTGGAATGCTGCTCCTTCGTCAGGTGAACCCTACCTGATGAACAGCAGCGCCCCAAAACTTTGTGATTTCAAATAAATCCGTTGGGACTATAATCTGGTGTCGTGTGATTTGTGACTTTGTCCACCCCAGTCCAACACTGGCACTTCCGCATCATAGTAATCTCCCAGGAATTCTTAGATTTTGGGAAAGTCCCAAAGGCTTGGAAAACGTCAAATGCAACACCTTTTATATATAAAGGAAAAAAGACACGAGAAAAAAAGCAACTAACATAGGCCAGTTAGCTGTTGGGAAAATGTTCGCATCTATTATAAAGGATGCAATAGCAGAGCATTTAGAAATACACAATATGATCAAGGAGGGTCAGTGTGGCTTCATGAAGGGAAAACCATGCCAGACAAATCGATTAGAATTCTTTGAGATGGTAATAAGCAGGATAGATAAAAGGGTAACAGTGAATGTAATGTGTTTGGATTTTCAGAAGGCATTTGATAAGGTACTACACATTAGGTTATTTCATAAGAGTCCATGGTTTTGGAGGTAGTACGTTAACATGGATAGAGGATTAGCTAACCAATAGAAAACAGAGAGTTGGGATAAAGGGAGCATTTTCAGCATGACAACGTATAACTTCTTGTGTGCCACACAGATCAGTGCTGGGGCCACAGTGCTCTACAATATACATTAACGACTTGGATCAGGAAGTAAATGTACTGTTGCCAAGTTTGTGAATGACACAAAAATAGGTGAGAAGGCAAGGGGGTGAGGAGGGCACATATAGTTCACAAAGGGACGTAGACAGGCTCAGTGAGTGGGCAAAAATATGGCAAAAGAAATATAGTGTTGGGAAATGCAGAGCTGCTCTTCCTGCCAATGTCCATAGAGGAACAGAGGACAGTTAAATATCACCCACCTTGCTGTGGGTCTGGAGTCACGTGTAAGCTAGACCAGGTAAGGATGGCAAATTTCCTTCACTAAAGGACATTAGTGAATCAGATTGATATTTCTAACAATGGTTTAATGCTTATCATTAGACTTTTAATTCCAGACTTTTCATTGAATTCAAATCCTGTCACCTGGCATTGTAAGGCTCAAACACAGGTCCCCAGAAGTCATAACACCCAGTAAACCATGAGCAATCCTGAATGCATCGACTGGAGAGTCAGAGTTGCCTGGAGCCCTCAACACCAAAGCAAGCCTTGCACAGAGTTTCACTGCGGTGCCAAAGCAGGGGCCAGCTCTGACAGGGCAGAGGCACCAAGCAACAGGCCAAATAACCCCTTTCCAGGCTCCAAGCTGCTGAAGAACTGCAACATTTTGCCATGTTCTCAAAAAGTGACAAACACATATCCCGAGTTAACGACAGAGCAGTCTGTGCAACGCTGTGGGCCCATTATGTGAAAGGAAATCAGAGACAGTACAAATCATCATTTAGAGAAACACAAATCAAACACTGCCTTAACCAGGCATGGACTAGTTAAAGAAAGGTCCTGGGTGACTAATTTTGATTCAAGTGTTTTGAGGAATTAACACAGTGGCTAGATGACAGCGGCACATGTGACACAGTTTCGGTCAATTTTAGTGAGGCTTTTTGATCAGGACACACGTGGGAGGTTTCTCGGACAAGAAAGACATTTGCAGGAGCAGAAGAAATGTACAATTAAAGGTCACTGGGATTGGTGGAAAGAGAAGCAAAGTTAATCATTTTGATGACCCCTCCCTCATTGGAACCTGTCCCACTGAAAGATCTTCCCAAGCTGAAATGTCACCTTGGTTTCTCTCTCTCTCCACAACACTGGCAGACCTGTTGTGTTTCTCCATAGAGTCATGTTTGTATCAGATCACCATCATCTGCAGTTCATTGCTTTATATGAAGAGTGTCTCCAGCAATTCACTTGAATCCATTTAATACCCCTCTTTTTGTACCAGGGTCCAAGAGTAAGGGACAAAGCGGACACCATGCTTTTCCAGTCATGTCTCAATGACTCCGAGTTAAATAGACAGGGTGGGTTAGAACGTTAGAAAATGGAACAAAATGTATTCCATCACTCCTTCACTGTCACTGGGTCAAAATCTTAGAACTTCCTCCGGAGTGTCATTGTGGACCACACGAACTGCAGTGGTTCAAGAAGGCAGCTCACCACCACCTTCTCACAGGTAACCAGGGATGGGCAACAAATGCTGGGCCCAGGCCAGCGACACCCACATCCTGAAAGTGAGTTCAGATAAAAAGGAACTGAATCCAGGGAAGTGAGAGTGATGCATTTGGGAGATTAGAGATGGTAAAGAAGTGAAGAGATGGAATTGTGCGCTGTGTAAAGGAGCAGAGGCACCATGGAGTACATGCTCAGAACTCTGAACTGTGGGGTGGTCACAGTGGTTAGGAAGGCACAC